GTCCCAGCTACTTGGGAGGCTGAGGCAAGAGAATCGCTTAAACCCAAGAGTTTGAGATTGCTGTGAGCTGTGACACCATGGCACTCTACCAAGGGCAACACAGTGAGACTCCATCTCAAAAACCAACAAAGTCAAGGCCTCCGTTACAGAATTTTTGTAGGTTCCATTTACACACACACCCAAAATGTCTAAGTCTCAATCAAGCACAGTGGCTCATGCCTGTAATCCCAGCACTCTGGGAGGCCAAGGCAGGAGGATCACTTGAGCTCAGGAGTTTAAGACCAGCCTGAGCAAGATCAAGACCCTATCACTACGAAAGTAGAAAAACAAGTGGGGCTTTGTGGTGGGCACCTGTTGTCCCAGCTACTTGGGAGGCTGAGGCAAGAGGATCGCTTAAGCCCAAGAGTTTGAGGTTGCTGTGAGATATGATGATGTCAGAGCACTCTACCCACAGAGACAGAGTGAGACTCTGTCCTCCCTCACCCCTCAAAATGTCTAAGTCTCAATTTCATCATAATAGGACAAACAGATTTTCTTTTTAAGTGCTCGAAGAGACAGCCTAGAAGAAAGGAGTGCAAAGAGAATAGGTTCGTCAGTGCAGCCCCTGTACAGTGCGGGGCAGTCCCAACCCTTCCCCCATAGCATCTTTAGAATGACTTTGAAGACTTCAGATTCTCAGAATAGGATGGCAGGACCCCCCAAGATCACCCCAAGAAGTCCTGACTCTGTGCCTCCAAGAGCACTCCCGGATACAGAAAGCCTGAACAAGAGTTTTCTCCACAAGCCTAGTCTATATTTTATTTTGAGTTAATAAGTCAGTTTGGGGGCTTATATCAAAGTATCTAACAGTCTTCAGTCCATCCTCTTAAGCCTGATTGGTTCTGCTTCCCAAGGAAACTCAGACTTCTGAGCTAAAGACCAGGCCACATGCAGGAGTGATGGTCCCAACGTATGCTCCCCCAGAGGGTTCTGCCTGGGCCTTAAGCCTTCTGTGCCACATTTTCTTTATATGTAAATGGATATAGTAATAATATATATGCTCCACATGCTTGTGACGATTAAGTGAGTTAATATAGGTAAAGCACTCAGAATAAGTGTATATAGCCATTCTTTTGACAGCAGAAATTTGTGTTATGCCACTTCCTGAGAAAAGTCTGGAAGAAATGTGGTAGGCTATCTTCCCCTCCGCCTCTGAGGTCACAAAGTTGCCATCCTTTTCACCTACAGTGCAGAAAGCCCTAATCTATTTGCTAGATCTGGGTTCCACAGCTGACTTTGCCTCCAACCAGGTGTGGGATGATGGGAAATCTAACTGCCATGGGCCTCAGTCTTCTGATCTAAAAAATGAGTGGTCCAAGTACCCTTCTGGAATTCTGTGGACTCTGGATTCTGTGACTGACTGTAAAAAGAGCTCAACAGCTTGAATATGCACCGTCAGTCAGGAGAAGGGGCTCACAAGTAATCTCTTTCTGACCTCTGAGTCAGTCTTCATGATGGTCTATAATTCATCTTTCCAGAAAAAAGCAAAATCTGTTTGTACTTAAAGGCCCAGGGTTCACCACATTGGAGTATTTATCAGGTTCAAGGTCAAGGAAGTAGTGATACTAGCAATAGTAATACCACCTGACATATAAATAGCCCTTCATATGTCTCAGTGTTTTCTTATACTCTATTTCCAGAACTCAGGAAGTGAGCTTAGAGCAGGGCACAATGGACTAATGAAGCATCTTCCTCTTTGCCAACTGCTAAGGTTTCTGGGTCAGTCTCTAACCTTGAGAATCTGAGCCCAGCAAGAGACCACTGTCAGCAAGAATATATGCCACCAACTTGGTCAGAGATGTGGTAAAAAGAGACCAGGGCTAGGACTTCCACCTATTGCTATTATCTGAACACTTAGGGCAGGATGGCTGGGAGCAGCCAAGCTCTACATGGATTGGGTAGGGACCATGAGGAGGCACGGTTGAGCTATTAATAGCAGCCTCACAGTACAGTTGCAGGTCAGGCAGACTAAGAACACAACTCCAGGTCAAGCAGCTCAGCCTGAACCAGCTGAGAGAAATTGTGCTTAGCCCGATTCAGGTTCCCAATTTCAGGGCTAAGCACAATTTCTCTCCTTTTTTCCTCACAATACCACTATGTATGTCACTGTCATTATAACCGTAAAAATAATACAAGATACATCAGTTATCTGTGGCTAACACCAAAACACAGTGGCTTAGACAGTAACAATTATATCTTTCTCTCTCCTAGTACTGGAGTTTGACTCAACTCAGCTAGACCTTACCAACCCAGGGTATTTCATGAATTTTCAATCAGACAAGGGCTGGGGCTGCCATCAGCTGAAGGCTTGTTTTCGCACACATCTGGTACCTTGGCTAGGAGATTCAACAGCTGGAGACTAGAACAGCTGGGACTCCCTGGGCATCTCTCT